GCTGTTGTGCTCCAGAAGCATAAACCATTTTACCTAATACACTGTTAGAAAAGTTCTGAGATCACCTGTCATTTACTTTGAAATCTTAGGAACAAACAAGGAAATTCCAAAATACTCACTCAAAATGGATTCGCAATCCCACTTTTCTTTCGGTTCATCAATAACTACAGCTACTATTTCGTCCTTTTCTTCCTCACTTTCTTCATTCACAGCAGAGTCTAAATCTTCACAGGGTTCTAGAGCATCCAATTTCACACAACTTTGCAGAATTCCAGAGAAGAAAAAAATAAGTTTTACCTTTTCTTGAAAATGTATAACTATGTAAACCCAGTCTCCCCTCAGTAAAACTCCAAACCAAAGCAAGCTATTCCCCCTGAAAATTGCAGCACAAGTAAGTTTCCTTAAGTAAGCATCTGCAAAATAAACTAAAACATTAGGACAAGAGGCATATTAAGAAAAAGTATTTCTGCATTTTGAAAATATGTGGCAGACGAAGTTTGTGAGTGGAGAGCAGGAAGAGAAAAGGATATGTATTTTTAGTCTGTAAGCAAGGCAGCTCTAGAGGTGATTTTGTACTCTGCCACTGACCGGTCATCTTTCCCTGCACGGGACAAATTACCGTATATTTCAATCAGGAAACACAAGACTAATGGGAGAACATTTAGCCATTTAGCTTTGGGATAATATCACTGGCTTTAAGACAAAGTGAATATACTGTGGAAATGCAGTCTGACATTGACAGGGGGCTGCTTTAAAAGCACTGATTTTTGCAGTGCTCCAGTGACAACCCATGCAGCAGTCGCCTGCGAGTTTATTATCCTGTAACTAGGTATACAGTGGAATCAGCTGTATGCTAGCAGGACAGAATATATTTGGCTACAGAGTCTGTTAAAAACAAAAGCAAAGGTATAAGGAGAAAGGTAAGTTACACTAAAAAGGCAAAGGAAGAATGCCTCTAAATATTACTTACAGTAAATTCAATACAATTATACAAAAGGAGCATCATCTCCTATAAACCAACAAAATGCCTCCACCTAATTTTATCATCTCCTAAGTTAAGACTGATTGACATTCAGTGACATAAAAAAAATGGGATGTAATCTTTGAGTACATGAACTGGAAACAACATGGCCAAACTTCCAATATAAACACAGGATTACAAAACTACCTATGTGAAGCAGCACTTCTGGGAATACATACTTCTTTGCTTTCTCTTTGTAGTAATCGTTCAGAACTTCCTGCAATCGCGCATTGTCCGTGTTGATGTAGCCTTCTAACTCCACATTATCCAAGGCTCCAATTTCATCTTCATCAAATTGTTCAAAAAACTAAAATAAAGAAGTATCTGTAATTAGTTCGCATTTGTTGTGCAACTTCTTGATAGCTTAATGATCTACACACTTCTATTTGCCCCTTTTTCCTCTCCCCTCTCATTTGCTCAGCAACTGTCAAACCCATCTGCAGTAGGATTTCCTCCTTACTGTCAGTATTCCTTCAGCATGGGAGTCCAAAGTTATTTTTTAGTAATATATAAATCAGCTTCTGGAGTATGTTTCTTATTCTGATGCATTATTTCAATCTGTATATTAAAAAGCCTGTTTACTGCTCAGGACAAAAGTTACACCACATTTTCAT